CCCCCCCCCCCCCCGCCGGGGCAGCACCGCGGCCATGTGCGCGGGGGCGGAGCGGTTCCGCCGGCCGAAGGCAACCGCAGACAGCGCCGGTCGGTCGGGCGGGCGGGGATGCTGCGTTACAGCTCCGGGCTCACCGTCACCGCCACCACCCCCCGGAGGCCGGCCGGCGGCGACGGCCGCTCCCGGCGGAAGGTGCGCGGGGCAGGGGGGAGCGGGGGGACACACACGACGTGGCCGGGAGGGAGGTCGGTCCCGCGGGCGGTGGAGTGGGGCGACGCGGCGGTTTGACACCCCCCCCTCCCACCCTTCCCGTATAGTTCACCTGCGGAGGCTTTTTTTCGGGCTTATTTTCCGGTGAAGCTTGCGGTGCGTGAGGACATCTTCTTGTGCGTTCGTACCAGGAGCTGGGAAATAGGGAAGAGTTTTTGGGGTGGTCTGCGAGGCTTTTCTTAGTGCTAGTGCCTGGCTGCTCTTCTGGAAACCTGTGAGGAAGGTGTGCTTGTGTTAGAGATTCTCGCCCCCCATGAGGGGTCCCCTGGAAATGTGCCTTCATATTTACAACTGAGAACTTGCTTCTCCAGGCTCGATCTGGCAGGAGAAAGCTCACCATAATGATTTAGATAGCAATAGTTGCTTATCTTTATAATTAAATAATCAAATACAGAAATACGATTTACTAATATATATTTTTTTTAATTTCATAAATGAGCTCAATAATAATGACAAACTAATCTGTTGGGAACGCTTCTAAAAAGTTATTAAAACTCTGGCAGGTATGACAGGAATGTCTCTACAACCGCCCAGCTTTAAATAGCCCTTTTTTGCTGCTATAACCACACTGCTGTCGTTGTGAGGGCACATTCCACGTGTGAAATAAGTCAAAATAAGTGATAAGCTTGTCCTTACACAGAAATACAATCGTGTGATCATGATGCTGCTTGAATTACTTAGTAATTGTTTTGATATTCCAAAAATATGAGTTCATAATTAAAACAATGAAGAATGTAATGTATGGTATGTTTTATGTTGTAATGTGAAGGTCAGGCTCTTCAATAGAAAAAATCCCTGACATGAAATTGCTCACATATATGGAAAAATTAAGATTATTTGGAAATCATAGTTATGCTCACTGTATGTCTTCTGTGTTCCCACTCAGTTTTCCTGTTTTAGTGTTTCTTAAAGAAGTTAAAGCTAAGAGAACTTGTGTTTAAGTGATAATTTTCTTATTTTCATCCCTATGATATATTTCCCAGGGATGATGGAAAGTGAACTTTATTTGATGTGTTCTCTTAAGGAAACTGGTGAAGACCTAATTTGCAAATAAAACCCACTGGGAAACTGCTGTTCCTTTTTTGTAGTGAAATATGATTCCCTTACCGTGAGTTGTCAAAAGAGGGGAGGAAGACAGAGTAACTGCTGAATAAATGAAAGATGCATGTCACATTCCTTTGTGCTTGTGGTCACAGGAAAAGTGCCCTTTAATTGTGTGGGGAATCTCACAGCAGAGATTTCATAAATGGAGCAGGCTAATCAACAGATAAATGACCAAAGAAAGTATTTTCCTCTTTGCTTTTTAGGACTGACTGAAATTAAACACGCACTTCTTTTCTGATTTCACCTTCAAATGTCTAAAACAAACACTAGGCATTGGTCTTAGGCAGAGAATTTTGGCCATTGAGCTGATAGGTTAGCAGATAGTTACTCAATAGAAGTGTTATGCCCAAACCATTTTATTATCAGACATTAGAAAGATCAACAATATTAAATTCTGGTTATGTTGACTCTAAAGTTGGTTTGAAGTTAGATCAATATTGAACCACGTGTTCCCTGTGGGGGTACTGTAAAAATCTTAGAATGGGACTGGCTGTTAGTAGAACAGCTTGTGTTTTTCTGTTGTTGTACTGGTAACTCTGGTTATTTTATGAAAACATTGCTCTTTGTTTTAATGCTGGTTCTGTAATTATTTAAGTACTTGGTTAACTATGATCAGTGCCTTTCTGGATGCTTTGTTTTTTAGAAGGGGGGGAAGAAGAGGCTGAAGAACAGTACTCAAACTGAATTTGTTTTAAGTTGCACCCCAGTGATTTGAGTAGGGTGACTGGTAAACATGACTGTGGATTGTGGATCTGGGCCATGAATTCTTAACATTTTTAACTAACCTAGAATGGCTTTTTTCTTAACTGCCATATTGTAGTAGCTCTTGTCTATGCTGTCCCACTGGCCTCTTAGAAATTTGATAGAAGAGCGTGTCTTCACCTGTTAATTTCCATTGCACTCAACAAACTTTTGCTGTCTGGCGGCTGCTGGGCTGAACCTGTCAGTCTTTGTTTTCCTGTCTGTGTATTTGTTTCACAAATGATGTCAGATGAACTTTGGAAATACTGCTAATGGGTTGTTGCTGTCAAAAAGCCAGGAGCAAACATAAAATGTTGGCACAATTAAGATTACTTATATTGTTGGCTTGCCAAAGATAACAGATGCTGCAAATCAAACTAAAATCTGACAATCTAGAAAGCCTGACACCTGGTGCTTCTTCTATCAGTATTTCTTTCTAAAAGTTACGCGCACAAAGTTACAATGTTGATGGCAGAAAGGTAGGATGGAAGCCATGTCCGTCCCTGTTTTTCTTCACTTGGTCTTACCGTCAGTCAGCAGTTGAAGGAAATTAAATCAGAGCCTCTTTCCTGCTATGGGAGCTCTCTTTCATTCTCCTCTCCGCTTTCTCTCTGCATAACGCAGCTTGTTTCTGCTAATTACTCCTTCATCCTCAGCTGTACATTATTCTGCCACTGTTTGGCACTGAGTTGAGGCTCTTCCTGTTACAATTTCATTTCCATTTTAAGGCATCACTGCAGCAGTGTTTTGCTGTTGGAGGAGGGCTTGCTGCGATTTCCATGTGAGCCTTGCTCATTCATTTGGTCAAGTAAACTTGCTGATAAATGGTACAGAGTGTTGTTTCTTCAGGAAGCACTGCATAGCAAGACCAATATAGGTACAATATTCATAATTGCTTCTGGAGGTTAGAGGAAAAAGTGGTGCCTGTTGTTTTCCCCTTCCAATCTCTATAGTGTTCGTGAATTTCAACAGATTGATCTATAGTTCAGTCCTAAGGCAGAGTGCATCATCTGTGGCCCAGGAGGAGCAGGAGTGAATGGCTATATGTTTGTTGCTGGTTCCCCAGGGATGGTGAGGAAGTCCTATTGTTATAAACAATAGCAAAAGTACAGCCTGTATAAGTTTGTCCTAGCGAGGAATTGGGTGGTACTTTGCCACTGCTGTACAAGCCTCACTGGGCATGACTTCAAGGCTGGAATACTTCTGATTGCCAATACCACCTGCAAAGTAAAGCATTAAAACTTTGTGTCAGAAATACGGTCAAAAATATGATACTGATTTGAGGTGTTTTAAAAGTAAGGAGCTAGTGTGGACCTGAGGAAGTGTGGGGGGAAAAAAATGTTATTCCGGGGGGTAATAGAGAAGGCAATGTGAAAAGAAAAGGACAAGAAAAACAGTTCAGGGGCAAGAAAAAAAATTTAAATTATAACAACCCTTTGGTTGTACAGTGGTATTTTGGTGTACTGTTATATTAATTATATATTTAATATATAATTTATATTTCCAACCTAGTTGTTAACGATTTGACTGCCATCTGTACTCGGCTTCTATAATTTCCTTCATAGTAACCCTGTAACACATCAATTGCTGTAACGTGACAGGGAGTCATGATTCACTAACTGGTATACAGGTACAGAGATAATTACTTATTTACAGTCACTGCCCTGTGAATCTGTAAGTATGTTGGTATAATTAGACCCGTACTGACTAACAGGCAAGGCATTTGCCAGCTTCAGAGAATCATACATAACTCCATTTCTCTGAACTTTGAGTTGCCAGTCATTACCTGTTTCTATTTATTTGAGGTATTTTTTCTTTTTCTCCTAACAATCCTTTCATTCCTTTTAGTCTGGTTTTCCTTCATTTGAAATCACTGTAAGAAAAAGTGGGCCTTGTCTGTCACTTCCTGCACAGCACAAATTCAGTTCTATTTCCTATTTATGGGTCTGGTCTGTCTGTCTTTGCCTACGTGGAGGAATGCCAGACTCTGTTTCCCTTCTTGTAAACAGGAATGTTTTAAGAGGAAAGAGCCCTGCTAAGCTAATGGGGAAAAAGAGCAGGGGAAAATAGAAATTAAATAGGTGAGGAAAGGTGTATTATTTACCTTATGAAGCAATAAGCTCCAGAGTTGAGGAGGTTATTATTAATATATCTAGATAACTAACTTGTAAGCAGGAATCACCTGCAGCTTCTGCAGTATATGGGGAGAGTCTGGTGTTCTCAGAAGAACAAATATAGCAGTCAATCAGTGTCAAAAGCCAGTGTGCAAGGATTCATGATTTTTAAATGCATTTAATTGTTTCAGAATTCTTTAGCAAATATGCAAGCATAACCTGCTTTTATAATAAGTTTTGGGGGTTTTATGTCACTTTCTCTGAAGCTCCTTGTTCTAGATTTTCTAGCCTACAGCTGAATGATGAATTAATGGTGAGGAGCACACTGCACAAAAAGTAGCCTCTACAGTTGTGCCTAAGAGTAGGTTATATTTCACTTTGATCTTACTATAGATGACTTTTTTTTTTCTTTATTGTATAGACACAGCTCACACTTTTTTTTTTGTGTCTCGGGACAGGGTTCCTTATTGGTAGAAGGCGTTGCAGACCTAAAAGACCAAACTGAGAGAGGAAGATAGAAAGCAATACAAAGTAGCATTGTGATAATAATGTCAGCGTGCCAGTAGTCTGAACGCTGTTGATTTCTCATCTCAACAGATTTAAAGAAAGGCTGGAAAAAAAACAGTGAAGTTGCTGCAGATATTTGCAGATAGTTCTTCCAATTGCTTTTGCTTGGGAAGAAGAAAAAGTTAAAGCTTGTTGGAAAAGCTGAAAAAGGTCCGTTGTTTGGAAACGGGGAAAAAGGGGAATCCTTGTTGTGATGCTGAATGTGATGCTCTGAGGAGGCTGTGTTGTAACGAGCCTGGGAAGTGAAGTCAAGTTAGCTTAATGGATATGAGACACTTGGAAGAAATGAATTACAAAATGGTAAAATTTGGGATCTAAGGAAAGGACTTTGCTGCTGTGCCCTGAATGCCTATGAGCAGAACATGATTGCCATTTTCAAGGCAAAAGGAAGTGCTGTAATGGCCAAGATATGAGCTGTGAGCTTGGGCAGGTGTGATGGAAAGGTGTATTTCATAGGGAAGGTACACATTCAGCACGACGGGAGGTAAGTAGCTAGGAGAAACTGGAGACATCTAGATCAGGTGAGATACTAGGCTATAGAAGAACAGTGGTGATGGCCCGCAGGAATTGTGACAGATATTTTGAGCATTTTGAAGAAGAGCTTTAAGAGCCCTGTTTGTTGTCAACAGGCAGGTGGGATTTCATGGGAAGGTGTTCTGCAGCTTCAAATTTGGACAGACAAATTTAATCATTTGCTCTGCTTTATTTAGGGCTTGTAGTTGTTTTCCACAAAAATGTCTCACAAATAGGACTAAGACTGAAAGTTTTAACCAAGATTTTTGTATGAAATGTGTTGCTTTAAAAATATCACTACACCAAAGATCTCTCAGCCAAAAGCAAGGTGAACTGCAATTGTGAATAAAAGGGTATCAGCCCTATTGGCCTGTTTGCTCAGCAAGAGAACCGCTTTTCTGAAATCAGATAGGAAACAGCACCTCTTAAATTTTCTCTGAAGCATTTTGAAGCTTAGTTTTTACAAACAACTTGTATCTGGTTTCAATAATATTCCTGTTTACATCTGGTAGAACTGCAGTATTGAGGTATCCTTGGATCAAATACTAGGATATGTACTGAACAGAGGCATTCACTCCAGAATACGCTTTGTGTTTTTAAGTAATCCCTTTTGAAGATAAGGTATGCCAAATCTCCAAACAAAACTGAGAAACTAGAAAATTATGTTCATTGTTCTGTTATCTCAGCTCTCAATGTCATTTATGAGTACATAAAAGCATATTGTTGATTGAAACGGATTTTTGCTATTTCAAGTATGTAATTATGGGGATGGCCTTGAATTACTTCTTGCCAGTAAAAACCCCCTCCAACATTTAAAAAAATATCTTTTTGTCAGCTGTGTGGCAGTAGGTAGAAAATAGCAAATTTAAGCTTGAATGTTAGTACAGCTCATTCTGTAGAGGAAGTTATTAAAATATTTTTTCTCATGCTTAAATCTAAAACCAAACCTTTGTTTTTCTTTCAGATGAATGTCTGTAGGTTACGCTTAACTGTTCCACCTGATGAAGGCTCACAGCCTGAACAGGGAGTGAAGGAAGTTGAAAGAAAGAAAACCGTAAGTTTTAAGAATCAAATTCTCCATAAACAAGGAGTAAATGTTGCCATGCACAGAAGCTGAAAGTAGTTGTTTTGGGTTCCCAAAGCCCAGTCATCTTGGAAGACTGAAGAACATGTGGAAGCAGAGCAAGTCATCTGAGAGCTGTGAGCCAGGGAGTTGGGGACAGCAAAACTGCATGTGAAATAGGATGGGGGCAGAGGAACAGCACAGGGATTGTAGGTGATCTGTGACCGAGGTACCTTTAAGACTGTAATATTTATATATTAAAGAGTAGGAAATTGCTATCAAGAGCAGGGTCTTGGATTAAACAGGACCTTGATCCTCACCTGAAGGGGATTTTATGTTTCATGTAGGCTAACAGTGGGCAAGATTTGAACCTTAATGTGTATGGGAGCTGGCTTGCCTGGGACTTAGATACTTTGCTGCGTTGGCTAATTTTGGTAACGAGTGATGTACTAATAAGAAATACAAAATAAAGAATTCAAGATTGTTGGTACATGAAACTGATTTGAAAGTTATGTGTGTAGAAGGGTTCAGAACAGCAATTTGTTTGTAGAAGCAAGTAGCGTGCACATGCAAAAAAATCTTGCAGTTGCTTTGGTGCAGAACGTGTTCTTTAAGAGCTGTTTCAGAGTAATAGATGGTGATTAATTTGTCTGAAGGATGGAGACTAAAAAGGGAAGCTGGACAGGCTCCACAACTTCACCACATTTACAGTTAGCCAAGTTCTTTTTTGATTTTGATTTATCTAAGTTTACCAGAGCCAATGTCTGAATAGCAATATGGGACAATAGGAAGCAAAACAATAATAGAATTTATTTGAAATAATTTCTTAATGGTAATCAGAAGCAAAAGTAACTGTAAAATTACTCAGACGAACATTTTAAAGCGATAAATTTAAATGCAAACTAAAATGATCAAGATAAAGATTCCGTATCTGCTATTACTTGTGCTGGAATCTTGCATGCACTCAGCTTTTCATAACCTGCCTTTGCAGAGTAATAGGTCCTTGAGGATCTATGAATCTTAGTTACACAGTAAAAACCCCCTCCAACATTTAAAAAAATATCTTTTTGTCAGCTGTGTGGCAGTAGGTAGAAAATAGCAAATTTAAGCTTGAATGTTAGTACAGCTCATTCTGTAGAGGAAGTTATTAAAATATTTTTTCTCATGCTTAAATCTAAAACCAAACCTTTGTTTTTCTTTCAGATGAATGTCTGTAGGTTACGCTTAACTGTTCCACCTGATGAAGGCTCACAGCCTGAACAGGGAGTGAAGGAAGTTGAAAGAAAGAAAACCGTAAGTTTTAAGAATCAAATTCTCCATAAACAAGGAGTAAATGTTGCCATGCACAGAAGCTGAAAGTAGTTGTTTTGGGTTCCCAAAGCCCAGTCATCTTGGAAGACTGAAGAACATGTGGAAGCAGAGCAAGTCATCTGAGAGCTGTGAGCCAGGGAGTTGGGGACAGCAAAACTGCATGTGAAATAGGATGGGGGCAGAGGAACAGCACAGGGATTGTAGGTGATCTGTGACCGAGGTACCTTTAAGACTGTAATATTTATATATTAAAGAGTAGGAAATTGCTATCAAGAGCAGGGTCTTGGATTAAACAGGACCTTGATCCTCACCTGAAGGGGATTTTATGTTTCATGTAGGCTAACAGTGGGCAAGATTTGAACCTTAATGTGTATGGGAGCTGGCTTGCCTGGGACTTAGATACTTTGCTGCGTTGGCTAATTTTGGTAACGAGTGATGTACTAATAAGAAATACAAAATAAAGAATTCAAGATTGTTGGTACATGAAACTGATTTGAAAGTTATGTGTGTAGAAGGGTTCAGAACAGCAATTTGTTTGTAGAAGCAAGTAGCGTGCACATGCAAAAAAATCTTGCAGTTGCTTTGGTGCAGAACGTGTTCTTTAAGAGCTGTTTCAGAGTAATAGATGGTGATTAATTTGTCTGAAGGATGGAGACTAAAAAGGGAAGCTGGACAGGCTCCACAACTTCACCACATTTACAGTTAGCCAAGTTCTTTTTTGATTTTGATTTATCTAAGTTTACCAGAGCCAATGTCTGAATAGCAATATGGGACAATAGGAAGCAAAACAATAATAGAATTTATTTGAAATAATTTCTTAATGGTAATCAGAAGCAAAAGTAACTGTAAAATTACTCAGACGAACATTTTAAAGCGATAAATTTAAATGCAAACTAAAATGATCAAGATAAAGATTCCGTATCTGCTATTACTTGTGCTGGAATCTTGCATGCACTCAGCTTTTCATAACCTGCCTTTGCAGAGTAATAGGTCCTTGAGGATCTATGAATCTTAGTTACAGAATGGGTTAGAGGCCTTAATGCAAACTATTCAGAATGGGTTAGAGGCCTTAATGCAAACTAAATTTGGGCAACCATTAAATCGTAATAATTCGTTTCATATGGAGGTGTTTAGTTGTCACACTTAAGAGTAGCTTCCCCCACCCCTTACTCTGTCAGTCTCCTGTCAGTTTGCATCTGATTGCAGAAATGCTCAGACTGGCCAAAGAGTAATGTCAGTTTGTTTTTGAGGAGGATAGATATTGACTCAGGGCTTACTCACCTTACTGTGCTGAGTAGTGTAATAATAAGAAAGAAGTATGAATGACAAGGGTTTGGACAATTTGTAATGCTACCAATTTCTTTTCTCTGTGGGACCTTGTATTTAATGAGCACTGTGGTTGCCCCCATAATACAAGTAAAGGCAAATAGGCTTTATATCAGAGAATGTTAAAGAGAGGATATGAAAGGTAATAAATACATTATTGGGCTCATTTTACATTCCAGTATATTGCACAGTGATTTTTAAGAGATGAGTCCTTTTTAGTTGAGACCAAAAAAATGGTATGTGATTTACTTTTTGTATGTTCTAAGCAATTTTCTAAAGTTCAGTACTTTACACAATTTTAAGACTTCAAGAAAGCATATATACAGCTTTCAGAGCTAGATGGGATCTAATTAGTCAATTTCATAGCAATTAGAAAAACACAGAATAATTGTACCATAGCCCTACAGATTGTATGGTCATAGTGTATAGTATAGAAGCAGCTACAAAAAAAATCACTGATCGTGAACTGGTTTTTGGGTCATGTCTCTAAAACAAGACGGTAATATATGACCTCTAGATTTTTATAGTCTATGTAATGCATAGCCTTATGTATTTGAATTAGTTACACAGTAACACAGTGTACACAGTTACAGTGCACACAGGATTCTTGAGTAGTCCTGCTGTGATACTTTTCTCTTACTGGAATATTTAATTTAAAAAAAATCAGTGATCAGGTATCTTGCTGATCCACCCATGTTCAACTGACTCAATGTTAATGAAATTACTTAAAGAACTTTGAGAATAACAGGTTTTACAAATGTTAAATAATCCTCACACAGTCCTATGAGAACTGTGCCCTCTTCTTGGAAATAGGGATAATAAAGAGGAGCTAGGGAACTTCTTGGTTTTCTGCCTTGCACTTTACAATTTGAGATCAAAAAATACAGCTTCACCAAGATTCAATTTTAACAGCAGATCTCTTGTTGGAATCTAGAGTTCTATGCTGTTTTTAAATGCTGAATATTAAGAAATTGGGAACATGGAAAATGTTTTTGGTATTTAAAATAAATTAGTGTGACTTACAGAAATGAGCTGCGGGGTGTAATCTGTGGGACTGTACAGTTTCTGCTGGAGCACCCAGGCAGATCAGGCAGCATGAGTTTGGCTGGCAGGCGCTCTCACGTTGGGGCAGGAGAAGTATTGGAGAGATACAGACTATACAGACTTCCTTCCCTGCCTGCTGCTGCTGCAGGAGGAGAGCAGAGACCTTGCTGTGTGAAAGGGAATGCCAGAAAACTATAAATACACCATGGCGTGACATTTGGTTGTAATCTCCTCTTTCAAATCTTTCATTAGAAGGAGGTGATTTTGAGCTGCCCTGGTGTGACATAGTGATGGCTTACTGCCTAAGTGTTACTCTTCTCTCTCTTTCTGGGGCTCAGTACCATTAAGAGACATTTCAGTTGCAAAATCAGCTAGTGAACTGCACATAAGCTCTGGCTGGTGCCAGTCCTCCCAATAACTTGTTTTGGAGATTGATGTCAAATCAGAACTGATTCTTTATTGATTATATTCGTAGCTGTGGGCTTAGCCTTTTTCACTGTGGTCCGAGTTTAGCAGAAAATGTATGCTGTATTTCATTAAGTCTGTATCAGTGCATTGTTTCTAGATTGTCTCTTTTATTGCTATACATCCATGAAATAAAAATGAACCAGTGTAAGAGATAAAAACAAAGTGATGGAGCTGGGCAGTTTTGTTCCAAGAAAATTGCTGGAGGCATTACTGTACTAGGATGGCCTCTGCCCGTCTTTTGTGAAAGGCTGGCAGATGGTACACAGTCAGAAGTGGATCTCAAAAACTGAAGGGGGAGAGAGCTTGTGCTCCAGTGTGTCAGGAAGGATTTTTATATTCTTATTTAGGCTATGATACCTTGAAAGAAGCATATGGAAACTGAAGTCACAAGTAGAGGCTGGTTGACTGGTTTGTGTGCTTTTTACAGGCTAAAAGCCTACTGCTAAATGTCTCTGAATTGTTAGCACTTTAGGCAGAGAGGATCTGAAACCATCCTGATTTTGTTCCTTACTTCTGTTAATGAGAGACAGTGGCTAAGGGCAGTGTGAGGCTGTTTACTTCATTCTGAAATACAAAGGAATATTGTGCTTGTCAGATTGTATGCATAATCTGCGTGTCCTGAAGCCTGCCTTGTCTTGCATAATAAAGGGCTACCAGACAATTGTATTGTCCCTCTTTGGGATTGGGCTTATTTTTATCCATCAGTCCCTTTCTTCGCTGTCGTGGCTAAATTTGGAAGTGTCATTGGAAGCTGTGGTTAGGTGTTTGAGGGCACAATATAGAGACATGTATAGACCATTTTCATTTGCACACACTGACAAGAGAATGAAAATGAGATAATA